CTGCAAGGCACTTGAGTCCTACCGGCATGCTCACTATCTTCCTCCAAGGCCAGGACTCACAGTGCAAACAGAGGTGTGCACGCTCATGACGGACGCTCCGCAGCAGTGAGGGAAAGTGGTGTGTACGGGACCCTAGGCACGCGAGAAACTTCGGGGAACCTTTCAGCTTTCCGTTACACCAGCGGTATTTGTCAGACCTGACCTATGCAGGTGCACGCGTCCATGCCTTCGGAGCTGCACGAATTCCCAGAAAACCGCGCCCACTGTCCGCTGACATAGTATTTCCCGGACTGCCCCGTCAGCGGACTGGCAACGCAACAGCTGACAAACGCGGGAGCCATCGACCACATGGACACTCATCCATGTGGATATTCAGGACACCTACGGCGGCCAGGCATTTGGAAGCAGCGATCTGAACAAAACCTATCTACCTTCGTTCTCTGCTCCCAGCCCTTCAGCCCACGAGGGCATTTCACCTTTATACATAGTTAATAACAATTTGAATGCATTCAAAACCTCAAAACTGAGCAGACCACGAAATACACGGTGGTTCAACCGCCCGAACAGTGAAACGAACGGTCGCGTTCGGAGACGGCTCGTTGCGGCGCGCGGCGAACACGGTAGCCGACGTGGCTGCCGTGCGCGCATTAGCCCGGCGCCGGCCAATGCGCACTCATGCAGCCACAATCAGCGTGCCGGCGCCGAGAGGCCCCGCGGAGTCAGGCAAGTGTCTCGTGTGCGGCGAGGACGCCAGTTCAGGGCCGCAGCCCGCACAGCGGCGGCGCCAGCTCACGAGGGCAGCATCCGGGTCCGCGTACATTTGGGAGACAGCTGTGCTATGCCTGCTCCGACGTTCCGCATATGTTTTAAGGTTTGCGTTGGGTTCAGAGGCGACGGAAGCAAAGCGGGGACGGCGGAAGGCTGTGTCCACTTCCTCGCTCGCTCTCTCGATCTGAGAAAAGTAAAAACCTCGTTCTGACCGTTCACCTTCCCCCTTCCAACTTCTCCGGGGCAACTCCGCCACTGGTTGGAGCAATCAGTAGACGATCGGTGAAGTGCGGCGTTCCCGACTAGGCCGGTGACCATTCCCATATACCCCCTCCCCCTCCTGTCATGCACAATCATAGTTGTTTATAATAATTTGGATGTACATATATATTCGATTGCGTATGTAAATTTATAATATATATATATATATTATATAATAATTATATATATATATAATATATATATATAACCTGCTTATGCAAATCTCTCATTGGATTACACGCGCTTCCTATAATTAGATACATCAGATATAAGCATGTGTTTTTCAGGGGCGCACAGCTTTCTGCTCAGTTCGGGGACTCCATGCCGCCACCCAGCTTCGAGAAGGAAGTGGGCCAAATCAAGAGAGAAGCTCGTTTTGGGATGCATATTGTGGGTAGGTTTGGTCATACCGTCGCGTTTTGCTGTGCAGCGCGTCACATGCAGCCAACCACAGACCGGCGGTGGTGTTAATAGTCAGGCCGTGGGCCGTTAGTGTTGGTTCCCCCATCACGTGATACTTTTTCTACCCGAGCCGGCATGGAACAATGCACACAAATGGTATTCACGCTAAGAAAACGGGTCGTTTCGGACTTGAATAAGTGATGTCTGTGAATGTCTCTTCGTGTCCCGGAGCCTGACCATATCAGTTCGAATCCCACTCAAGGCGAGCTATTTCCGTTGAGCTGTAGCACGAACAGCGCGATGTCTGTGAAAGGATACTTCAGGCCAGCAGCGCGGGCTGGTTCAGGGCGTCTATAACGGAACAACAGACATGTGGGGAGAGAGAACAGCATGTGGGTGGAAGCGGCCGCCAAGACATTCCCTCCAAGTTCCGCAATACCTGAGAAACTCTCTAATCACGACACCGGGTTCAAAATTAGAAACCATCGAGGTCCCAGCGTCCATTCCCACATGTTAACGGCCGGCGCCGTTAAGCAACTACACGCGGCGCACGAAACACGTGCCACACAGTTCCGAAACAGCGCTTCGGCGGCGGTGCGGCTGAATGAGAGCTGCAACGTCGGCGGTCGCACGCCGGGCCGGCCCTGTGACGGGGAGGCCCCCTGCAGTCAGACGCCACGGCTATCAGCCGCAAACGGAGCCCCAGCGGCCACCACCACGGCCGCCAATCGTAGCCGTAGCCGCGCACTTGCGCACGGCCACTATCTCCGCACCCTACACGTCAAACAGCGAGTTTTTGCGCCGTGTTTTGCCGGCGTGCTGACCCAGTTGCCGATTGAGAACGACAGCGGTACAGGGCCCGCTGTGCGATCGACGACACAGACGGCGTGAGCATTGAACACCGCCGCGGTCACGACAGCGTGGCAGCAGCACCACGGGTGCCGCTTCATTTGCGCAGTGACCCGGTGTCCGAAAACAGCGCCAGCGCTACAGTCTGGCACGTCGGCAGGGTAGAAGAAAGTATGCTAACCGAAATAATCTGCTACCCGAAATTAATGCAAGCATGCCACGCTCTCATTGACAATGCTGTTGCTCTGTACCTTGGGACGGCTGCTTTAGCTTCAATGTAGCTAACCATGACGCAAGTCGCTGGACTGAGGTGGAGGGCATGCGAGAAACAATTTTTGCAAAAATCCCCACTACAATGGGAAGAAACATCAAGACCGGACAACCGGAATATCGAAATAAGAGAACCGGAAAACATCAGCGATGATTTCGCCTGCTGGGACAAGAATTTGTAGGGTACACAGCCAAACGTCACCTCGGAAGATATTCAACCCCGCTGTGTCGTGCTGCGATTGTCCTCACCTACTACGCAGGGTGGCGGCACACTTCGACATAGTTTAGCAGGTACACGCACAGCCCTGGTTAGATGGTAGAGTGATGGTGTATGACACAGATCAGACACGTCAGCTTTTGCTCACGACCTGAGCCATTAGCGTATTGCTGACCTCATCTTCAAATCAACTGTCGAACTCCACATTAAGTGGCGTATCGTCGCCATGTGTGGTGTCATTGCTCTTCATAGTTTATACCTGAAGATTAAAACGAACGACTGAATGGTGTTTACACCCTACCAAGCCAGACGAGTGCGATAGAACATTTATCCCACCAGCTGCTGCTGATATATAGGAAAACACAACCGATTTCGGATAGTTTCTGGCAGTGTGAGTGAAAGGCGGCTTGTAGGGACCG